TGAAATTTTATGTTGTTTTGGAGAAAAAGTTTCTACATAAGGCAAATAAGAAAAATTGCAAAAACAAGATTTATGTATTTGGCTACATAAGACTTGAAAGCTTCACTTTCCAATAAAAATGATAAAATTTATAGAAAAAACTGACATGAAAAAGTTAATATGCTTAATATGTAAAGAACTATCACAAATCAATATGCTGTACACAATGGTCAAAGAGGAAATTAGCAAGAGAATAGAAAAACCAAACCTTCATAAAAAAGAATAAAGTAAAGCAATTAGATTTTAAGTTAGCATTAAGAAGGTTATTAGTCTACACATTCGTCCTCAAATAATCAGAGTACAAATCTACTCAGATTTCTGAAGATCATTTCCTGAATATGAATCCAATGCCATGAAATTAAAATATCCTTTTACATCTAAATTTCATGTTTCAGTCATATGAAATAATAAATGTAAGATTTGCAAAAGAAAGAATGTTTCTAAAAAGAAAGAGCTACCAGGAGGTAAAGAGTAAACACTATTTGGAGTAATTAAATTACAGTACACTAATAAGATAGGATGCTAAATAGTCATTAAAATGTTAAAATATTAAATGCCAAAAATACATGTTCTGAGATAACACACACACATACCCATGTACATACACACTTGTGTGTATGCATAATTTTTTGGGAGATGTAAAATAATATGGTAATAGTAATTATTTCTGATTTGGCATTAGAAGAACTAATTTTATTTTTATTTATCTGAATACTGGAACAATAAGCACATAAGAGGAAAAAAATTCCAAAAATGACTACATTTTCCCAAATGAAGAATATGCTACTTTCATATGGAGAAATATTACCCAGGCTTCAAAACTGGACAAACAGACAGACAAATTGCCCAGGGCCCAGGGAAACGAGGATAAATTGGGAGTGATTGCTAATGGACTTTTTCCTGGGTAGTGAAAATATTCTAAAATTGATTGTAGTTGTAGTTTCACAACTCTGAACAAACTAAAAAACCCAGGCATTGTGTATTTTAAGTGAATAGATTGTTTGATATGGGAATTTTATCTCAAAAATCTGTATCATAAAGAAATGCTTAATATGGAAAAAGTGAAATGTTAAGAAAAATAGATCAAATTCATACATGATTTTGATAGCAGTTTTGCAATGATAGCAATTTTGCAAAAATAGTGTATATACATTTCAAAACAGCCAAATAGGAAAAATATTAACAGTGGCTGATCTGGATGGGGGAATTTTTACAGTTCAGACAAACCTCTTGTCGCCTGGGATATCCAACAATGAATGCCACTTTGTTACTTTTCAAGCAAAAATTATTTTACAACAGTTACTTTTAAAATACTTAAGATGTCTGTAGGACTAAATTGGGGGAGGAGTACTGAAAGACTGCATGGCTCATTCCTCTGAGGCTCTTTACATAAAAAGAAATCACAATTTTAACCTAAAAAGTAGTAGATTCTATTTATTAAAATCTCATGTGAGTGTTATTGTGCCAAGAGTAGTGCTTTTTATAAATTCTGTCTCACATTTTCTGTCATAAAGAGGGTTGTTTATTAATAAAAGGGTAATATATAAAATGAGATTCCTGAATATATATCTACATATCAAATAAAAATAAAAATGAGTGCCATTGTGCCAGCAGTGCTATTTTTATAAATTCTGCCTTAGAATAAGTATTCATCATAAAGATAAAGAGAACAAAGCATAGCACTTGCCCACTGCTGCTGTGCCAGAGTACTGCAGACTTAGTGCCGAAAAGCAACACGAGCTTACGACATCATGGATCTGGAGACCAGACGCCCAAACTACAACTGAGTGAGCTAAAATTAAAGTGTCGGATGGCGGTATTTCCCATCCAGGCACCAGGGAGGACCTGTTTTCTTGCCTCCTCCAGCTGCCTAATTTCTTAGTTTGTACCTCTCTCCTCTTCCTTCCATCTGCAAGGCTGGCACAGGAGGTCAGGTCTCTCTCACATCACCCTGACATTGGTTCTTCTACCTCCTTCTTCCATATTTAAGGACACTTCTGATGACACTGGGCACATCTGGATAATCCAGGAAAATCTCCCTATTTTATTTAAGGTCAGCTGATTATCAACCTTGTTTCAATTTCCTACCTTATTTCCACTTTTCCCATGTAAGGTAACAGCCACAGGTTCAGGGGATTTGTACCTTTTTTTGAGGGGGAGCATTATTCTATTTAACACAAACAATGTGGATATTTACAATCAGTAGTCATTGGTTTCACTAACAATAAATATTTATTAAACATTTGTTAAATGATGGCAGCTATTCACATACGGAGGATAAAAAAGCTAACAAAATAGAATAAGTCTTCCAGAAGCCATTAAGACTTGTTGTAGTATTAATATAGCCCTCATTTTCCACTGGCTTCAGATTGTTTTATGTACTACCATAGAGAAAAGTTTTGATGCTTATAGGTATGAAGTGACAAATGACAAAAATTGCAACCTTGTAGCTTAGTCACTCATTCAAAATGTATTTAGCAAATATTGCCATGGACTGGGACCATAGTAGCTGTGAGAAACATACACTAAAGCAGGAAGAAGCAGTTTCTGTTCATATGCAGTGATTTCTAATGTAACTTGGCACCAAGGAGAGAACAGAGGATTTGTTCCAAGTTAATATGTATAAAATACCACACAAAAATTTATTATTCTAAAAAGCCCTCTGGCAGTATTTTAAGGAACATACTGCTTTGCATGTTGACTTTCAGTAAAGCCATACATATATATTATGTAAATAAATGCCATATGTGCATGTGCTTCTCAGTGAATCAAACCTCTGAAAGAGCTCACTAATACTTTGCTGTCATAGGAATTCACTTTGAAAATCACTATTTCAGGCCAAGCATAGTGACACACATTCATTTACTTATAATCCCTGCACAAGTTTAAGGCCAGCCTGAGCTAAAGGAAGGAAGGCAGGGAGATGGGGGGGGGAGGGAAGGAAGAGAGGGAGAGAGGAAAGGAAGGGAAAGAAAGAAGGACGGAGGGAACAAAGGGAGGGGGAGAGAGAGGAAGGAACAAAGAAATAAGTCACTATTTCACTTAGATGGGTAAGCTTATTCCAATCTTAAAAAAGTTTTTCTCAAATACTATTGACATAGTTTTCACACTTTTCTCTTTAATTTTTCTAAATGTGCTATCTTCACTATAGCTGGCTCACAATTCCCTTCTGGGATGAGCACAGAGAGTTCTAGAAGAATGCCATTCTTGGTAAACTTCTAACATTTATAAATATCATTTTGAAACAAATATTTTTTGCAAGCTATATTACTTCTACTTCCTCAACAGAATATCTTTGACAAGGCCAAAAAAATGGATTATAGAGTTATTTTCTGCAGAGAGAAAACATTCCTATTTGCTTCTGAGAATTATTCAAGAAGTTGGAATTGAGGAGAGTCATTAATTTATCTAGGATTTTTTCTGTATATATAAATTGTGTATTAACAGGGCTTGATGTGGCACGCACTGATGAACTCAGGGTGGTTAAAATTTCTCTCTTTATTGTTATGCTTGGCGGCTTCAAACTCCTCTCTTCTAGGTCTTTGTAAAATATGTAATAGCTCATTGTGAATTATCGTCACTCCACCGTGCTATGTCTGGGACTTTCTAGGTTTTAATGCTGAAATTTCTGCATCCAGTGAAATCCTCACTCCTGAGCAAACAGGACAGTCAGTCATTAATTCAGTCCCTGGGCACTACAGGACAGAGACGAGGAGAAGAAGAGACAGAAACAGGTGAGGAGTCACAGTTCCCAATAACAACAGGGAGGGTAACAAGAAGGGAGAGCAGAGTCTCCCCTTCCTAACCTCCAGCAACACAAGTTCGAAAAATCTGGCCGGACAGCTGGAAATGGGGCAACACTGTGTCCAGCTGCCTTTTCTCCCAGTCGTGGACCCTAAGTTGAAAAGAGTAGCCCAGCAAAAAGCCTCCTGTGTAGCTGGGGACACTACTTCAGCATCTGCAGCCAGTGGGAGCCAATTTGAAAGAGACCAGGTCAGTGCTGCATAAGCACTGGTTCCATCTATAAATGTGGGCAAAAGAAAGAACCTGAGTGGTCAGAGGTGTAGCTCTAGATATCAGAGGAGAATGGGGACATTTTACCTGTGCTCTCCAGTTCTGCTGTCTCATCAGGACATTGCAAAGGCCATACCTCTTCCCTGGAACTCACATTCCTAGAAACACTGGTAGCATGAGCATTCTTTCCCAAGAAAGACTCAGTGTTATCAGAACAGACTGCGTAAAGCATCAGGTTACACCGACCTTTAAAATCAAGTTATTTAGAGACAAAACAAACTGCATTTTTCCTACACCTCTGAGTTATAGTGTGAGTTTCATGTGTGGTCCTGCTAAATATATACAGATAAACAGAGTTAAGTAGTTAGAACTATAGGATACCCCCATTTTAAAAAAGAAAGAAAGAAAACAGTCACCCAAAGTGAGTGAATATAGTTTGGCTCCTTTTCCTAGTAGTACAACAGCTCCTTGGTATTTTTAGTCAATCATCAAACATTTAAGTGCCTTAAGGGTACTTACCTAACACTGCATTGGTTCTTGCTTTACACACAAAGAAAAAAACCTAACAGCTCTTGTCCTTAATTAGTTTTTTGAATAAAGTAGGTTCATATCCAATTTCCTACTTTGCTTGGATTCACTTGAGTCAGCCTTTTACCCCCCAGCACTGTAATTCACGGGAAGAAGTCATCTTGCTGATGACTCACATATCCCACAGAGTTTCAGCATGCTGGCTGCCCCAGAGACCTTTAATAGCTCAGACCCCCTTTGACACAGCAGGGAATCTCCTTAAATCTAGAGGATTATGTTTTTCAAAGATTGGGATGGGGAAAATCCTCTTTTTCAAAAAATCCTCCTAAGTCATCGTAAATCCAATAGTCAGTATTCTGGCTTGATTTACTACAGTCGAGCAGGTTTATATTACTTACTCAAGGTATATGATTACTTACTTTTGTAAGACATATTCTTCTAGGGACCCAGATGTCAAGTACATTTTCTTCTGATGGAAATTAATTTTTTAAACTTTTGAACATACACTGATGGCGGGGCCAGCACTGTCCCTAACACAAGCCATCCCTTAACACAGCCTTCATAGTCTTCCATCCATTCTGTGCAGCCTGAAAATGAGGACAGTTGTAGGCAGCCAGATCAACTTTGCCACCAGGAAGAAAAATGGGCAATTTTATAACAGAAAGAAAAAAAGAGAAAAGGATTAGTATCCAGCTATTCCTTTTGGAGAAATACTCACATTTACCAAAAAAGTCAATAAATGCTGACACAAGCAGAAGGTTGAGAAAAATCAGGTAGCACTGAGGAGCAGGGATGTCTGCAAAGCACGTACACAAGAAGCAGACAGCTCATGGTTCTGACAGTGGTTCCCTCCTACAAGAGAGAATTCACTGGACAACACCCAATATACTGTAGCACCAAGGTCAGGATAAGACTGCTCAAGGGGTGTTTGTGTGACCCAGATAACTGGCGTCTCTGGCTGTGCCTGTCACCACCAGCTAGCTGCTTCAGGCAGCTGGCAGCACAGAAAGATAGGAGGACAGCAGGACCATTCAGGGTTTGGGGCTGGGACAATGGAATATGGCTAATGGCTCCGGTGGCTGAACAGAAATTAGAAGATGGAAGAGCTATGATTAAACTGTGTCCAGGAGACTAAGAAAGCTTGCCGTCCCTGTATTTTCTTTAGTTCTTTTACTGAATGCATCTTTTATAACCACAGGAAACATAAATGTAACTTACTCAGGAGTCATTCTAATAGTGAGTGAACTTGAGAAGAAATATTCTTTAAGATAAAGGATTTGTAAGTATCTACAAAGTGTCTTAGGTCCAGAATGCATTTAACAAAAAAGGCTACCTCACTTGAAATATAAGGGAAATTCAACACAAACATTTAACAAAATCAGATTCTTATGAAGGAGACAAACTATTATTTGGGGAAATATTGTGCCAAGCCCTTCTGTAAAGACAGAAATCCTACATTAAAGAAAGTAAGACACATTTACTCTCTCTGTAAACTTATACCATCAAGTATGAGGCTGTTTTGCTGCAAGATATATAATTTTCCAAGTCGAAGAAAGTCCCCAGATCTTATCTGCTTCAAAACAAGGCAATATTCAAATCATTTCAGAAATACTATTTTCTGTCCTGTTCTTAATAGGCTTCAAAGATTAAGACGCAGTCACTTGCACCAGTTCAATATATTAATTTTTTTTAATTTAAGGACTTTGAAATACCAGATAGACAGTACGTGGTCTGGTAAGAATGAAGCTATTCATATTATTAAACATTGAATTTATACCAAAACAAATTCCCAGCTTTGCACTAGTATAATAAGGGCTGAAATTTTCAAGTAAAACTCTTCAGCATCTTCAATCTTAGGTCCCTCGTTCATTTGTTTATTTTAGACAAGTGGCCCCTCGTCTGGATTATCATAGAGAAGCAGTCCAGCATGCCTGTTACGGCTTACACTAACACAGGGAAATTTTGGTTTTGTTATTGAAATTTCAGTGGACCCTCTCATGAGTCTTGTTGAAGGTATCACATTTGAGGGACCGAGTGTGAACACTGGCTGTACAAAAGAGTAAGTGGGAACTAAGGACAGTGTTCCAGATGAAGGTAGGAAATAAGAACGACAAATCCAAAAGTGCCACTGCAGATAGCCAAAAGCAAGTCCTGAAACAAAGGCTGCAGAAGCCAAGTCAGCCGAAAGGACCCAGTTGTAAGGGAAGAGTTTTAGCCTGTGAACTAACCTAGAGCTGGGGAAGAGTCTGATGCATCCTTCATGCAGGAAGATCCTTGAAAAGATAAGCTGGCTTGTCCCTCTTTCGGAGAGGAGCTGTAGAAAGCGAAGCCATTCAGGTCAGGTGGAGGCTGGCCTTCTGGTGGCCAGCACCACAGCTCCAAATCAGCCCCTCCCGAGCTCTTGGATTTCCCTCCTCTCCTGTTTCTCACCCCTTTTCTCTCCATTGTAGAGTTGAGCTTATTGTTTCTCTGAATTCTTGGCATCCTCTTGTCATGAGTGCCTCAGAGACCTCTCCTGTGTTTTGTTGCCTTTAATCCTCATTTCCCACTCTCTTCCCTATAGACAGCTTCCAGTGTGGTCAATGTACACTTTTCTCTGCATGTGTGCTGTGTGCATGGATTAATTTACGGAAGTAGGACGGACTTTGTTCTTTCTCCTTCCACTTTTACCGTTTCACTCAGAACCGTAAGTTCCATCCATAGAACTATCTGTCCCTCTAGCCCATTGCATAGAACTTCTGCTTGGTTCTCTGGTAAGTGCACCCACCACATTTTACCCGTGCACCCCCTATAACTGGCTGCCTCTGGTTCTTATCACTTCAAACCAAGCAGCAATGTGCAGCCCAGACAGGCGGCCTATGAATCTGTGAAAGTCTGTCTTTGGGGTGTATGTCCAGAAGCAGAAGTTTGGGTTGTAAGGACTGAACAGGACATAAAACTTAATATAAGGTAGCAGGTGACTGCCATATTAGTCAACTTTTACCCACCATGTGGGAGTTTCACAATCCTACATCCCTGAAAAAGTTTACTTTGTCCATCTTTCCAATTTTGGCAGTGAAAGGGGTCTACAAACTATGGCCGGTTGGCTAGATGCTTGATTTTGTAAATAAAGTTTGATTGAAACACAGTAATCCACTAATTTCCGTATTGTCCAGACTGCTTTCATCCTACAATGACTGAGAAATTGTGACAAGAGTAGTGTGACCAGCCTACGCTAAAATACTCAGTCTGGTCCTTCAAGAAAAAATTTGATGACCTCTAAGTGATATTTCATTGATGTTTTAAAATTCATTTCTCTGATTAATTGAGTTTGATATTCCTTCACATTGTTCTTGGTCCTTTGGTTTTCTTCTCTTACAATTTGACCACGCATGCACTTTTGGATTTCTTTCCTTGTTGATATAAAAAAATAGGTTATACTCTACACAGCAACTCCTTATCAATACTAAGCATTGCAAATATCTTCTCTATTCCATTAGCAGCCTGGTTATTGTGCACATAGTGACCACCACAAAAAACAAAACCTTAATTGTGATATCAAATTAATCAATGTGCACCTTACAGTTAGTGAGTGACACTGAAGCAGTCCTTCACTCCCTGGTATTGATTTTTGCTAAGCATTTTTTGTTTGCTTGCTTGCTTATTTGTTTGTCTGTTGCATTAATCAAAATAATACTATGTCTCCTTCAGTTTATCAATACACTGGATTATATCAATTTGCCGAATTCCGATAGCTCTATTACCTGAAGTAATTAACATTGTTTATTTAGCCTTCTATCACATATGTGTGTTCACTAAGTTTTAAATACCTAATATAAAGCTATGCATCCCATATTGAAGGAATCTGATAATATTTTCTAGATTGATAAAATTAGATGTCATGGCCACTATAAAATGGAACCCAATTATTTATTCTATTAGACCAATATTACAATCTCTCATACATGTCTTCAGGACCACCTCTATACCAAACTCAGAATTATTCTGTGTGGAAAAGGATATCTAAACATTGCTTCCTGGTACTGGCAAACACTGAGTTCTCTTAATCATCAGCATTTAAAAACTAATGATTTTGAAATTAGCATTTCAAAATTCAAAACATACTTTTTTGTTTCCCTCATTGGCTTTACCATTTGTGCTCAACCAATATGAAAAATGAGACTCCAAATGCTTTTATCCAAAAGAACTCTGGCCCTGTCATAACCCTTATGTGGAGATTTCCAAATATATTGAATTTTATATCATTCACCATTATTCCTCTTCTTTATAAAGACAGTATTACAGGAAAGTTATAATGCACCTTTTTTCTTGCTTTTATGCCCACATTATAATATCTGGGCAAAATCAGAAAACAAAAAGCTCTCCTTAATTTTCAGTCCAGTAAAACAAGCTGGATTTCAGACTGAGCCAAGCAATAGATAGCTGATAGTAATACCAAGAAAATCCAAGTTTATTAACCTCACACCAATTTCTGTTCTCCTTAGATCTGGATGTATTACATACTAACTCTGTAATAACTTTCCAGGATCACAGAAAACTTCCAATTTCGTGCCAATGTTTTGTAAGAATTTCATATTTATATCCAGGGGTGGTAGCACACACCTATAACCTTACTTCTCAGGAGACTAAGACAGGAAGATCACAAATTCAAGTTCAGCTTGGACTACATAGCAAGACCCTTTCTCAAAAAAAAAAAAAAATCCCAACTAAGAAAGACACAACCAAATATGCCCAGGTATGTTTCCCAGCCTGTTAGAGGAACTAATGGTAGTACAGCAAGGTAGATTTTGAGATCCAAAAGATCAGAGGTTTAGTCCAGAGATGTGGCTTTGAGCAAGGCACTTGGCCTCTATGGCCCTCATTTCTAGAAAATAAAATTGTATTTGCAATCAATAATCCAATAAAAAGAAGGAATCAAGTGTTTTTAGTAACTAACTTTAGTGAACAATTTTCCATCATCGAGAGATTAAATAAATATGGAGTTAAGAACTGAACTATGAGAGCACAAGTGTTCACTTTCTACATAAGTTTATTTTATTTAATCAGAAGCTATCTTTAATCAGAACATGAGGCATGTGTTTTAAACTTTGCTATCTAGTAGAAGACAGATAATCAGATGAAATAAGCAAATATTCTCTGTTAGAAATAATCTCTAGGAAATAACCATTCTGGGTTCAGTGGCACCCCATAAGACATGGCACAGTTCTCCCTACCTTTAGTTCCTCTCTAGAAGTTCACCAGAGTCGGCCTGTGCTACTCCAAACCAGGCTCACGTGATCACTTGCTTCCAACTGTCCTACCTACTGTTAAGGCAGACAGTCCTCCCTCCTCAGCCTGTGACTTTCCTGCATGTCATGTCCAGTGTACCAGGAGCACAAGGCCCCGGCCAGTCAATCTCCAGTCCATTCCCCCAGGGTTGTGTTTGCAGTGGGCAGCCCTGACACATGAAGTAACCTTTGACCCTGGAAGCAGTACAGTACCCAAACTCTGCATTTATCAGCCCCAGTGCAAACCCACAGTGTGCTTAGCACACATCTGGGCTGTATCATGTCATTCTGAAGGACTTGGGAGAGAGAGACACACGAACACAAGTGTGCCAATACTCTTGTAGCATGCCATGTCATAAGCAACAAACTCCTTTCTCTCTAACCTATAAGTATTCTATTTTTTTCCAGCATCTATGAAATACTAACAGGCTAACTTATTAAACTTTAACAGAAAATCAAACTGAAGACTCAAAATGTAGAACAATTAAATTTTAATTTTGTGTTTAAATTCTAGTCAAATAAAATGTACAAAACTCCTGAAAATCTACAATAAAAAGTATTGTAGGAAATCTTTAGA